TTGCTTTTGAATTTAATGTTCAAGAACTGATGTTTTCATCAACTGACTGGACTTGTTTGTGCAGATTTTCTATTTGTAGTATTGTGAAAATATTTTTATTTGCAATGGTATTTCCATTGGGAGATGCCTTTGTCTTCAGAGTAACTTCCCTGAGAGCGGTTTCAAAAGTTAATCTGTGGAGAATACTGCATCTTGTTTTGCAGTATTCAGATGCCCCTTTAGAAAGTAAAGATGTTATTCTTTTTTGGGTACTATTATCACCCTCATTTGCCACCACCTTATTGTCTGAAATGTGGGCAGAGCTCAAAGGTTTGGGGAAGTTGTCATGGACTTCACTTTAATTTAGTAATCAAATGAGAAAACTCTAGATAAGACATGATATGGCAACATCACAGAAGCTGCTCTGTGGTAGGGTGGAGAATAGCTACTGGCAAAGGAGGAAGAAAAAGGACAATTTTTTTAGAGAATGAAGCAAGGAAAAGTTTGCTTGAACAGCTGGGGTTGTTGAGCATCAAGATGACGGAAGGATGTTATGGAGGCAGAAGCAGGCGGAGGAGAGACAAAGCCAAATCCTCAGCTAACATTGCTGGGTATTTTTAGGAGTGCTTCCTGAGAGTGCTTTCTGTATATAAACAGTCGAGGTTCCAGGAGGCAGTGGTGAGGGGGAGCAGTGTAACTCAATGATACTTGTACTGCAAATAGTACCTTGCAAAGAGCAAACTGTTTGACTTTATTAAACTGCAGCCTCCTGCAACAGATCAAGGGTCTAGTTTCTAAGCAAAATAATTGTAGCCTAAAGAAAACTTAAATGTTGAAAGTCCCATAGGCCCTAGATTCCTGTTTGACTTGGCTTCAGGAGCTGCACATACCGTTTGAACCTTAGGCTACGAAGTAAATTTGCAAAGCACAAGCTGTTTTGAAGCCCCTTTCCACAGTAACACATAGCCTTGTTATCAGAAAAATACAGGAAAAAGACAATGGGAGGAGGATCAAGTCTGACAAGTGGGCTTGACAGTGCTTTGCAGTTCTGGCGGGGCTGGCAGGAGCTGGGCAGATCTGGTCTAGGCATCAGGGCAATGCAGGAGACTGTCGCCTGGGCTTGCTGGGCAGTGCCAAGGTTAAAGTGGAATTGGAGCCATGGGCTAACTTGGAACAGGGCAGTGTAATGCAGAACTGGGGTCTGCCTGACACTGCTTCCCTCCACCCTTGTTTACAGCTGTGGGGGATTATTTAGGGTGCTGTACCCAAAGAGTGGTCCTGTGTGTGCTGGAAGCCAAAGCTATGGATGAAGATGTTCCCATAGGAGAGCCATCCTTGCTGCAGCAGCCCCAAAGCTACCTGTGCATGGAGGAATGGATCAATGCACCTGCGAGAAAAAGGCTGACACTCTTAGCTGTTGCCAATACACATGGTGAGTACCTGGACAATATCTTGGCTGGCATTTCTTTCAGTGGGAAACCTGTCCTTGGCACCATCTTTTTGCATGAAACTTGTTGAAAATTTCTGTCTTCTCTTCCCTTGGCTCCTTGTACAGCAGATTTATGGTCTCATTTTCCTTTTACAAATAAAACCCTAAGCACAAATCCAAAGGATAAATAACACAGTGCAGACATGCCCATGGCAATATTCTCTGTTTCACTGCAGAAAGTCTGAGAGGAAAAGCTAGTGAAGGCAAGATACCTCATGTGAGAAAACTCCTCTCATGCTTTTGAGCCAGTTCTGGAGGTCGGAGAGTTCTTGTGCTTTTCCCCAAACATTTGCAGCTTAGGCAAACTTCAGGTGTCTTGTCTGCAAAAGGGGGCTATGGCACCCATACTTCCTGGCAGAATTTTTGTGAGGGAGGCATACCAGCTCCACCACAGTGCTCAAGGCTTCTCCTTCCTAAGGACAGAATGGACAGGTGTTCATAAATAAACCTGAGCATTTGCTCTGCACCAGGCAAGGGCGTTCATGGAAATGGTAGCAGTGTCACTGCTACTCCTCCCATTAACATCTCTGCTGTTCTGATTGCTTCCACCCTGCCTGTGGCCTCAACTGATGTGGCTTGGGCAGGAAATGTTTAACCAGGGCACTGAGCAAGTGCCACAGAGGCACCAAACTTGCAGGGCTGAGTGGGGCTCCTTTCAGCTGACTCGGCAGCACTGAAATGGAGAGCTGCAGCCAGGACTAAGCACCTTGTGTTAGCAAGGGTGGCTTTGGGGAAAGGAAGTTATTCCTCATTTCTCAGGCTGAGCTGGTGGTTTACAACTCTGCATCTTGAAATTATACCACAAGATGTATCTGGAACCACCCTCAATATTGTTTTCATTCTGCCTTGATTTCAGCTGCAATTTTAAGAGGCTTTTGTTTAACTAAGCACAGGGGCATTAAACCTCAGTGTGCAGGCCATGTGGGTCAGAGGTTAGGACTCAACTGTCATCACTATGGACCCTGCCCCTGTGCCCCTGCCAGGCCACTCCATGCTGCAGCCCTCACAGGGAGGAGAGCTAATGGTGGGCTCAGGAACCATGTCTTCTGAAGGGTGGAGAACCTGGAAGGAGATGGGGGACCTGCCTCTCACTGTTTATACTTCACAGCAATGCAAAGCACTCAGAATAGCTCAGGCATGTCTAAAAAAGGATTTTTTTTGGTCTGGGATTGGATTATTCTCTTTGGGTCTTTTTGAGTTTTTTGGACCTCTTGTTTTTATTGTTTAGGTGGGATTTTTCCCATGTTGAAGAGGAAGCTTCTACTATACACCTGTAATGGTGACAAGAGCTAGAAGCCCTGCTCTGCCAGTGCTCTAGCTTACCTGGCACGTGGCAGCTCCAGACCGATCCCAGCTGCAGGGAGACCTATGGCCTGCCCTGGCTGGCTAAAATAGTCACACAATGGCCAACAGGCCTCAGCTGGGGTAACTTTAGGCTCAGTCAATCTCACAAGTTGTTCACTTTAAGTTCTGCCCTGCAACCACATGTTTCCAGATGTGCAATGCACTGGAAATTATGATGGACCCAATGGATGGAGATTTTGGACTGTTGTTTCATACACCCCTTGTGCTTTAATATAGGAACTGGCATGGGCTGAGTTACAGAGGCTTAGAAGGGAGTGGCTAGTAAGGCAACTGAAAATACCACTCACAAAACAGCTTCAGCATGGTGTGCAATAAAAAAGAATCCCCAGACAGACTAAGGTGGAAGAGACCTAAGTGCCAGGAGTGGTTCAGTCACCATGCTTACTGAAATTTAATCTCCTTGCTGTGGCAGGCAATAAAGGGCCTGTGAAAACTATAACCTGATTTTTTCCATCATTAGCTATGACCTCGCTTCTGACTGCTTACTCCAGTCTCAAAGGATGGGACCCTTTCTGGAGGGAAGACCTGTGCCTCTGTTCCCTGAGAGGAAATTAGTCTGTAGCATTGCTATGCTTTGCTTAATATGTTTATGAAAGTGGAAATACCACCTGAATTCCTCTATAGATTCTGCAGGGAAATCATGTTTCCATATTGCATTATGAGAAATGCAGCGAAGGTGTGCTATGCTCAGTTAATATTTTTAATGTATGGAGGTAAAAGAAACTTCAGTTCAGAAGAAGTATATGCTTCCCTCTTTCTATTCAACATCCATGGTGCTATAAATACAAACTGCAGGGTACTTTCAGAACTGAGAGCCTTTAAGATTTCTCGAGGGAAAACATCACACCAAATTAATCTGCCGCCAAGTGGAAATTCTATATTGTTTGCATTTGCCAATGTTCTGTATGTGGCTGTAATTGCACTGAAGCAAATATCTGCTTCGAGTTCTTCACAAGATTAAATGTGGCCAATTGGGCGTAAAAGAGTAATTGAAATGCAGAGCTGCTGCTTTGGATTTGTTAGAGGCATTGCTCATTTTTGCTCTGACATGACGACACTAGGTTCTGACTTTCCATTAAAACAGGGGAAATCTGAGGAATGTGATTTCAAGCGTCGGGTTGTAAGCAAAGAGGAGGACATTTGTCTGGCACTGCGCTGCCCTGCAGTGTGCCAGTGGGCAGTGTGCCCTGGGCGTGCTCCTAGCTCCATGCGTGCAAGGGGACACCTTCCTCTCTCTGACCAGCAGAGAGGCTGTCAACAGCTGGGCCCCAGGGTGCAGTGTCTGCTTCAGAGCTTGAGTTGGCTCCTGAGGATTTCATGGTCCTTAAGTTCTGAGTATTTGCCATAGATTTGAAGCAAAAAGGACTTGAAGGTTCAGCAAGAGCCTCTGTGGCTTGTAGCAGAGGGAGCCCATGGTATGAATTGGATCCTGACTGGTGTCACCACGTCAGACCAAAGGATCATGTCAGCTTGCAAAACCTGCAGTCTCACCCTGAGCCAGCTGGATGTGAAACGTTAAAGATTTGCTTAAAAGCCTTATGCTTTCCTTTTATTTTACTAGTTTAGTCATTTTCCCTCTTGCCAAATAAATGCAATTATAAGCAAGTAAAAAGTATTCTTTCAAGTTGACTGTGCTGACTTTTAATTCTACATGAAAACGCAACTGCTCCCTGTGCCCTGCCCAACAGGTAGTTGAATAAACAGGCCCAGGTGAGCAAAACTGCCAGTTTGAATCCTTGTTTATTCCATTTTCTTTCCAATTAGTGTGCTTATGCAAAAAATACATGCCTGACAGTTCCTAACAGTTTGCTCATGCTCAGCCTTTCCCCATGGCTTCTCCATGCAGCTACAGAGCAGTCCTGACAGCATCTTTGCACTCTTCAGTGATGGCAGCATCTCTTGGGCTGGTGCCAGAAGACAAAGCTTCTTCTTGGCACTAGCAGGCCTCTGCTCCTCTGCCTGTGCCCCTTCCTAACCGGAGGTCCAAGTCCCGAAGCTGCTGGAGGAAGCCGGAGTTGGGGCAGATCCCTCTGTGGGAGCGCACAGTCTGAATGGCGGTGGCGAGGGACATACCTTCACAGATCATTAAGAAAGCCAGGACAAGAGTTGCCGACCGACTGATTCCCATTGCACAGTGAACCAGTACTTTGCCTAGAAAAAGGAGAGAGATTTGCAATTATGCCAGCAGGCCTTATGGTGGGGGTTATTGTGCTGGAGCAGAGATGGAAGCTGGTATTGGGGATGGGAAAGCAGGTGTGTACAGCCCTGCAGAGCAGCCCTGGTGCAGTTCCCCTGGTTGGGGAACATGGGGTTTTTACTGGCTGGGGACAGAAAATTTGTAATTGTGTTCCAGGATCCATGGTCGCTTGTTTGAGCTTAGCTGTCAGCCTGACAGCACACCCTTATCCTTTCCAGCCTGCCATCCGTTGTGTCCCTGCTTGCTCATGTGGAGTTTTGGGAGTGATGTATTTGCTGCCAAAGTTTCAAGAGCTCACGCTTGATGGCCGTGCTGTGTGAAGCAGCCTTGGCAGGTTACTTACTACCAGAGGGCTTGGAAACTTGGGATTTCAGAAGTGCAATGCTCAGGACTGCTCACTGCTGTTACAGCAACACTCATGGTTTTCCACAAACTCTTCTTTCTTCTTGCTTAGGGCAGTAATGCTGTCTGAGGGTGCTGACTGCTGCCCAGGCTTTTTTGCAAGTGTGTGAAGAAAATGAGCATTATCATTAAGAACAGCTGTTTGTATATGGCATTTGCACCAGCTCACTTATGCACTTTTATTTCTATAGCCTGCCCCATACCAATCACTGTCCTACCCTAATGCTTCTATTTTTCCCTGTTTATTGACCAGTAGGAAGACAATTTATGAAATGTTTTTAGTTTTCCAGAGATTTCAGTGCAAGGTGTACATCTTCATTAGGAGTTCATAAGGAGTAACATCATGAGTCCTTCCCCTGTTGCCATAAGTGAGCCTCAGGGAACACCTCCCAGGGATCCAGTGGAGTGACTCTCTTCTTCCCTCTGCTCTGCTTTTGGTTTTCCTGCTGTGATCATGAATGGAAACAGCCTAAGAAGCTCAATTCTGTATTGAAACTGCCTCCTAGGTTTCTAATGTGTGATTTTGACCCATTGGATGGGGGATGAATATTTTTAAATTGTCTTATTTGAAATTAAAGGAAGTTTTTTAATTAAAGGAAAATTTTGCTCTCAGAAGAATTCAGGTTTGTGGTCATTTTCCTCTAGATATAAACAAAAAGCTCATTCCAAACCCTGAAAATTTGCATCCTGTAAATATTGTAAAATGCTTCAACTTTCACAAACATGGTACGATAAATGAGAACTTTTTAGTTGAGAGTGAAACTCAATTGTTGTATAACTTTTCTACTCAATTATAACCATGCCTGAACATTTTCAAGCTCCCTTGTCCTTTGCTGCAATCAGATCTATTTTTTTCACAGACACTGTGGCCCAGCAACTCGGCGTTAGTAGAGTAACAAGTGATTAGAAGCAGATATGAACTTCTGACTACCAAATGGATAGCCTCCCATTAAGGCAGCTGAAGAAAATGTCTTTTTAGCATGGAAATTTCTGAACAGCTCTTCACTGGAAATCTTCACAAGTTTGAAACAAGGTATTTTCTACTTTTATAAATTTTTTTTTTTAGACTGTCACGTATGTGGTCTCTTGTTGATTCATTGTATAGCTGTACAAAATGCAATTTAGTGGCAGCACAATTTATATCCAGAAAAGATGAAAAATCAGCAATGACAATTCCATGTTACTCTGGATATGGACTAGACTATCTCAGATGCTGCTTCTCTGCAAAATGTAAGGAGGGGTAGAAAGAACAGACAGCTTTTCAGGGCGAGTTCCTTGTTTTGTTTGTGCTTACAGCATCTTAATCTCTCTATTACTAGGGAGCAAGACAAAAATATCCTTGTTGAGGATGAGCCTAGATCCAGACAAAACGTTCAGACTGATTGCCCCCATCCCCCTAGGTGTTAATTCTCGGTACTTTGTACACAGCTTTTAATCTTAAATCCCATTTTGTTTATGACAGAGTATTTATTTAGCAACCATTTTAGTTCTGACTAATGATGATGGCATAGCCACATGCTCAGAGAGGGTGAGCATGTGTTGTGAAAACCTGCTCTGGCCAGCAGGTTGAGAGAAGTGTTGAATTCCACAATGTATGTGACACAGCCACCTCTCATTATCCTGGCATGAGAAATCCGAGCGCAGCCCTAAAGATAGACATGTCTTCAGTAGAAATAAAGGGACAAATATAGTCTCCAAGGAAGTGGCAAAAACAGCTCTGGTGACAGCAGACTTGGACCAGACATCAAAACCTTTGGGGGAAGGAAGAGATTTTCCAATGTAAGGCCAGTTTTGCAGAATTTCTGTTTTCTCATCCAGATACAGTTTCATAGAATTTATCGAGATATTGATGCCCTTATTCAAGTTAAATTGCATCTATCTGTCAATTCCATTAACTTCATGTAAGTTCTTGGAAGTAAAGTCCTGCTTTTTATGGGCATATGGAGAAATGTTTTGCATCCCTGCTAAAAGATAATGCTAATTTGAATTTCCATCAGACTTCTTATTCAATGTGCTGCACTTCCATTAGCCTTCTCACCAACCTTGTAGGGCATGTATGCTATCTTCCCCAGAGGAGGCACTTGGGATCAAAATAACCCTGATCTGAGATTTTCAGAGGAGCAGGAAGGAATCAGGAGCAATTTCACTTTGAAAAATACTGCAAATAGGGCTAGACCAAAAGATTTTTGAAAAATCTTTGCTTTAGTACTTTGCAGGAGGCCTAACTGCAATGTGTTGGCAGGAATGGGAAATCCAGACATTCACCCAAAATGTGCACCCCAAATAACAAAAGTCAAGAAACAAAATGTTCTGAAATTTTTTCTTGTAATCAGAACCACTCTTTTTCACCTTTTTTTGTCTTTGTCTGAAAACTTTTGAGCTACCAGCACTCTCCAACTAAAACAGTAAGAATTTATGGTTTGAACTGCATCATAAGGGAGAAAAACAAGAAAAAAACAAAGAACTGGCTTTAATGTTAGATTTGATTTTGCATCACTATATATTTTGAAATTAAATCTAAATTTGTGCATAAACTGGATGGGGGAAAGGAGACTTGATGTTCTGAATCTAATTTTTGTAAAATTGTTTGAGTCCTTCCCCCACACCTGTATGAAGACTTCTGTCTTTGAAAATGCTCTGCCCCACTAGCAGTCTTCAACTGAATACCAAACTAAGCACAGGTATAAATGCTGAAGTTAAATATTGCCTGTTGTGTTTTTGTTGGAGGCACAGAAAGCAGAACAAATGCCAGGCTCCTGCTTGTACAGGTTGGCTCTCTATTGTCTTGTGTCTGTGTCTGAGAGAAGACTGTGTCCAAAAAGAATACACTGACTTTTCTTCCCTTTTTCTCTGGTTTATCTGCACTTCAGAAGAGTCTCTTCTATCAGCAAAGATCTTTAGAAGGTGTCTCAGCAAAAACCTGGACAAGCCCCAAGTATTGACCTTGGTCCTAATCTGCATGGTTCTCTAATCACTTATTCCCATGAGGATGTAGGTATATTATCTCTTTTACAAGTGCAATATGTATTCCAACATTGTTAACCTCTGTGCATAGTGAAACAAGGGCTATGATAAATGCTGGTACACTGACAATAAAATGACTTGTTTGTTGCAGATAAATCAGTCATGTGAAATGATTTAATTAATATAAAATTGCTCTAATGAAAGCAGATTTGAATTTACTATGCGATTATTTTTAGCAAACAAATTGAATGTTAAACTTGAGTAAGGAAACAAAAGCTCTGTTGCTGTTTGGTTCTGTTTACAGGGTCAGACCCTCGTCTCTTAGCAGTGGCTGCAAATGGGTGAAGTGACACTGTGAACCCCTGGTGACATCCTGCATGTGACCAGCGCCTGAGGCACGTCTGCTCCGTGGGCTGACTGTGGTGGGTGATTCCAGCCATTCCATAGCCCCTGGCAGGATGAAGCTGAGATGTCCCAGCACTCAGGCTTGGATCCCTGCTGGCTGCTGGAGCACAGCCATGGAGAGCAGCGTTCACAGAGCTGCCCTGTCGTGTGGTAGGCAAGGAGGTTATAACCACATCTCCTGCACCACAGAATCCGTGCCATGAGCTGTCATCTTCCAACTCTGTCTTCCCCACCCCCATTTCATTTAACATACAGTGCAAAAAGAAGCTGGACTGGTCCCACATGAGGGGACCATGGTGCAATCTTCTCTCTGAGCATGAAACAGGATCCCTTAGGAATAATGGGATTAACTGAGGAGAAGTAGGGGCACTTAGCTTCTGGCATTATTAAATCTTGCAATCCTTATTTGAAATTTTGCACCACACATCTCAAGCTACTTTTTGCAGAGGCAGACAATAACTGTCATCTGTCTGGGATTTGTGCAGAACAATAACACTGGGTTTTTAACAGCGGATTATGGATATTCTATCCAGCTCATGCCTGCTGTAACTCTACTAACATCAAAGGGTTTGCACTAGGGATGAAGTTTGCACATTCAACTTTGTTGGCCAAATTCAAGTTAGGAAATTCAATGTTGTTGAACAAGATCAGTCATTAAAACACATAATAACTTATTGTCCTTTTGCTAATCATCATTAAATGAGCTAAATGTCCTAAACTAGCCCTTGCTTTCTTGCAGGATGGATTCAATTTGGCTTAAGATGAAGCTCCAGATCTGTCACCCATAGTCAGCATCCCAGCTGCCCTCACTCCATTGGATCCAGCTGAAGTACTCTGCTCAGCAGGAGAGCTCAGCTGGGCTAATGGGCCCTAGGGGCTTGTTCCACTATTTTCTCATCTCCTGTTAGGTTTTAGCCAGGTACAGAATCCACTGCCTATTTCCTGATTAATCCAGTATCTGTTTTGTCACAGCTGAAAATAGCAAGAAGCCTACGGAGAGCTTTAAATAGTGGCAAGTCAGAGCAGGTAAGAGCTGTCATCTGCTGCAGAGTGGGAGGTCAGACTGATGTATGTAATGCACCTACAGTGAAGTCAAGCAAGAAGACCCTTTTCTCCAAAGCTAAGCAGCTTTCATAACTCCCACCAACAAGAAGGTGACAGGAGAGGGAGCCTAGCTTTTCATTTGCTCTGCTGAAGTGGAGGAACGGAAATGGCTTTGAGAGAGTCTGCCATTTCAAGCTTTTAATGGGTGGTTTTAACCTGCCTGTTTTAAACATGTTCGGAGGTCAATAAAAGGCAAAGCTCTCTACTTGGGAATCTTTCTCTCAGCACAGTCTTAGTTTAATAGTTTTCATTAAATGCTTTCATCATCTCTTTCCCTCCTCCTTTGTTAGACTTCACAAAACCCTGCTGATTTACTTTAGGTTTAGCTGCACTCCAGAGAAATGCAAATTGCACAGGTGGCCATGCAAAGGGTCAAGATTGATATTCAAGGTGTTGTCCTTTGAGCATGAGCGAGAAGGCTAGTACTTTCCCAACTCCATGTTTTTCCTTGTAGGAAAGGAGTCAGATTGTGCATCTGTTCTCTCTTGTCTGAGCCTTTCCAAACAGCTCTGTTACATGGGCAAAGAACCAGCCGGGCTGTGCTGAAGGAAAGGCAGTCAAAGAAGCAGGGATCGTAAATGCTGATGTGGCTTGGCTGCAATAGTAGTGCATGTATTGTCTAATTTCTGCAACAAAGACTATGAAAGAAGTCAGGGTGTGATGCAGCCATGACCACAATGACAGGAACAGCTCCCAAGTAGGAGCAAGTCTCTACTTCCTTTTGCTCACGCTCTGGCACCTGAGTTTTAAGAAACTGCCTTAAAAACAAACTCCTTACATCACCAAAGATAATGTTCTGTTCACCTAAGGTAGAAATCTAGAATAAATCTGTCTGTGGTGTAAAGCATCAGATTTCTTTTTCAAGCATGATGGAAATAACAGTTCTTATCTAATTCTAATGAGTACTTGAGTCTTAGTTTTAAATACGTTTGTGCCTCATACAGTCTTAACTTTGACTTGTCCACTTAGGTAAAAAGACTAATATATTTCTGTTAAAGAAAAAAACTGATGTTGGATTTGCTTGTAACAGTTAAGCAGCAGTCTTAAATGACTTCTTAACCAAGCAGTAGTACCTTGTTACATCCTGTATCTAATATGGACAGGACTCTTGTCACCTGGTATATTTTTTTTGTTATTCAATTTCACTGCTTATAATAAACACTACTTTTTTTTTTCTTCTTCTAAATGATGTAACAATCCCCTCCCTGTCTCATCCCTGCACAGGTCATGGGTATTTAGCTGCTAAATTTCTGTACCTCAGGAAATTATGCTTCCAGAACATCTTGTTTATATATTTTCTAAACTGTTGTGCTTTCCTCAAAATGATGAATGTCAGCAACAGCTGGACAGTGTATGATTAAATTTCACCTTGTCTCCATTCCCAGAACTCTACTTCCATATGGAGTTCAGTAAAGCAGTGCTAAAAGCATGGGAGCAGGGATAAATACGCCTTGAGCTGTAACTTGTTCTGCATTCATAACTTAGTATTTCGGCATGCATTTTGCAAAGCACTAGTTTTGTTTACTATTGTGACTTTTACAATTCATCTGCTGTTTTCTGTCTTTTGTCAATTGATTTGGAACTTTGCTTTTACACACACGAACAGATTTTGGATCTTACCTTTCTCTGGAGCACTGCCAATAATGACTTCAATTGCAAAAAGTGTACGCTGTAATAAAAATGGGTGAAAATCCAAATTCCCCAAATGCAGCCCTAAAGTACACAAGGGCAAACATTTTCTAACAGAACAGAACAAGCCCTCCAAAAAGCAGCAAACACACAGGTACCTAGCATGAAGGTACACTGTTTGCAGTTACTGTGCCTCCCCTTTCTGGCTAGTAGGGTGTGGATCAGATCTACCAATGCATACAATTAAGCTGGGTAGTTAGTACTTTAGGGCCCTGATTGCAATTAAAGCTCACCATGATGCAAGCAAAATGGTTTGCTGAGTATACAACTGTTCTCTTATTAAGTCACTTACTTTTGAGTAGTATCTGTACAGTTTTGTGGCACAGTCATGATTTGCTTTTGTGAAAGCTAGCCCTTAGTAGTAACGACCTCCCATTGGCCCAGGCCTCTGGTGTTGCACCTGGCATGTATTAAGTGAATCTGAGGATTTTGCGGGTTGTCTTCCTATTTAAAAGTTATACTTTTTCTAGCAACAACATGACATTATTCCAGGATGGTGATGTTGCTTGATCTCCCTTCTATAGAACTGCGTTATAGCAAGTTCTTCCCTCTTCTGTGTTTCTAGCACTTGCACAGTTTGTAGCATTATAGTTGAATCTTCTTATTCAAATATGGCACTTGCCCTTTTGTTTTAAATCCCATCACTAATTTGAAAAGATCAAATAATGTGCCTCTTCCTAGGTCAGTATCTTCCTGTAGGTAATGAAGGACACTTGCTTTTTGTCTTTTGGTGATGAATAACACTAGGCATAGGGAGAACCCATTTAAAAGCCTGTTCAGTGCATCCTTCCCTGTTTCAGGGACACAGGAGAACTACCACTAGGAGTTCAGGAGGCAGGTAGGATGCTACTTTTTTTGGGTATCTCCATCCTTACCCACATGCAGGTGGGTTGGTCTATGTCAAATAATACTTAATAACTTTCCCTGCTTGTCTACTATGCAGAAAATAACCAACACGCAGAGATGGCCTGGTTACCTCTTGGGGAATTCAGTGCTTCTCTAATGTACTGAGCAACTGGATAGAAGTGAATGCTGAGATCAAAGTTTGGGTTGTCCTCTGCTTCTACTCCGTAGTAATCCACAGGCAAGTCGCTGTAGAACTTGGGCCCAGTGTTGATGCGGAATCTCCCGGCAGCGGCATTCACCACGTGGGAGATGCCCATGCGGCTCAGCTGGGCCTTGTCGCGAGCGACGTACCTGGAACAAAGACGGGGAATTATACAAACCCTGCAACAATTATACTTGCCTGCTGCACTGCAATGCATGCTGCTGATGGTGAGTTTGTTACAACCACAGGAAGTGGTAGTGGCTATTTTTTTGACAGGTTGATCAGGCTCAAAGTATTCATCAGAATGCTTTGAGACAGAAATGACTTGTTAAGACACTAAAAGACACTAACTCTTAGATTTCCCTCTGTTTTTTCCCAAACATACGTTTAGATGGTTCTCAACTGATGGAAGTTGGTGGTGGAGATATTTCTGCACAAGCTAAGAGTTTTCTGATTTCAAGGACTTTTTCACCAAGTCACCTCTGCTGAGTATTTATCAGTTGAGAGGGCTGATGCCATCTGGCAAAGTGAGGAGAAAATGAGCTTGATCCTGTTTTACCCAGCTTTGGCATGACTGCCTGAAGTACCAATGCCACAGCTCCAGTGGGCTGTTGCAGTGTGTCACTCCTGCACTAAGCAGGAGGAGAAACCAGGATGTGGGGGATCTTCTTTTTATTCAATGCATTTTCTCTATGCTACAGCATCCTATGCCCAGTTCAGTCTTGTTCAACACTTAGACCTGTTGTGAGAGGTCCCCAGATTATTGCCTAGCTCTCTGTGTTTAAATAAAGAGTGGAAGATTTGGGGGAAAAGTTGCAATAACCTTCAGCCCTTCCTGTCTCTTACAGGTCTCCCACATAAAGGTTTGGCCAGACTTCATCCACGTGCCCCGTGGGGTGTGTGCGTGTGCAGAGCAGGCGCCGCAGCTCCTCCAGGGATGGTGTCCCAGTGCTGCTCCCACTGTTGGGCATCCAGCTTGAGGCACTTCTTATCCTAGGCCGCCGTAAGTCCTGGCTGCACAAGGAGTCCCAGGCCATCCTGAAAGGGGACAGAAGACACTCACCACCAGCCAGAGATATTTCTGACAGGCTCCTTTCTTCCTCTCACCTTGTTGAAAAGTTGATGAAAACTTCATCATATTTTTAAAGATTATTTTCTTCGTAGGAAACGGAGAAGTTCCTACTACTGTTTGGAATTCTGAATCCTATTAATAACACAGTGAAAAAGCCCAGCCCTTGATATCCCAGCACGAGGCTTCACTTGGAAAGAGGTAATGCTATGGAAAATGTCTTGTGTAAATATATCCAAGAGTGTAGAAACAAAGAATTAACATGGTATGCTGAGGTTTTCCTTTAACCAGGTAACTAGGGCTTCCTTATATATTCTTAATCTGATTTGTCTTCTAATTTGCTCAATAAACTGATTTGGACTGAGTAGAATCAGTAATGCAAAATGTTATTCACTGGTCACCTATTAATTGTCAGCTTCAGTGAGGAAAACTCTGTAAGGAGCAGTTTGTTTTTTTCCAATGGTATTTACTGGCCATACTGGTTGCCCTCATGAGAAACGTTCATGTTAGAAAAATCTGGATGAGTTACAGAGATTCCAGCTGAGCAGTTATAGGAGCACTGAGTAATTTTTTTTACTAAGTTGTTTTAATTTGCATTCCTCTCCTCTCTGCTCCCTCTAAGAACTATCCCATTTCTAGTCTTGAAGCAAGTACTTCAGTTACAAGGAGAAACATTTTTTTTAGGCATCACTTTATCTTTGGAATTACTGTTTACATATGGTATGTTTCTTTTGAAATAGTGGTTCTCTACAGTGTTAGCTGTAGATTTGAACTGTTGAGAGGATTTTTTTAAGAGGGTAATAGAAATTACATTTTTCCTAGAGTTCTGTTCTAAGAAAATCTTATACTTCTTTTCTTGTACATTCTAAAAATGACCCAAACATCTGCATTACAGAGATAGTAGGAAGTCTGTCAAGTCATGAGCCTTAGAACAGAAGCACCTGTCTAGGACGTGGGTGAAGCTGTAGTCAGTGAGTCAAAGTCTTGCTCTGGCACTGCCTGAAGCATGTATTCTGCATAAATGATTTGAAGGGTGGTTTGGGGTAGAACAGTCCAGGACAGCAAACCTGAAATCTTGCATCTTTCTGCTGAACAAATCTATTGTTAACAAATAGGTTGTATTTAAGTTCAAGCACCTTCATTGATCATTTCTTTAAAACACCAACTGTGGTGAAATGTTTTCCTAGTTTCCCACCCTGGTATTTTCTCCAGCCCTAAATTCACAATTTGGTGCAATTTTATTTTGTATGCACAAAGACTGAGCAAGAGGATCAAAGGATCTAAAGGCTAGCCTGCTGTGGGAGCTCATTGCACCTTCACATTAATGCAGTGCCTTGCTGAAGGGCAATGGAGCAACTAATTCCCTGAAATATCCATAGAAAATGAAGGAAGTGTCAGGCCACAGAATGGTCCCTACAAGTCACCTTTCTGCCCTGCACGTGGCGTGATCTGCCTTGCCACCCTGTTGCCAAGAGGAGCCCCCTGTCATTTCAGTACACCTTTTCCTGCCACCTTCATGGCAGCTCTGGCCTCTTGGACACAGTAAGATTTCACCAAGTGATGTTCCCAGAACGGTCTTGTATTGTTACAAGAGCATTACAAAGAGCTCCACTGTGGAATGTGCTCCCTTCCCAAATGTGCATATCTCCTCCAGTGTCAGCTTTTACTGGGAAAACAAAAGCAGATGTTCTTGCCCATTTTGGATGGCTTTATGCAAGAGGAGGCATGGAGGAATTCCCTACTGGAACAGGCATTTCCCATTGATTTTGTCTGCTGCTTTGACACTGGCCACCCCAGTGTCCCCCATACCAGCTCTGCCTGGCTCCTGCTGGTGATCTTGGACACTTCTCTGATCCCACACAGGAGATCTGCAGCAGAAATGGGACTTGGATTTCCTGTGCCCTGATCACAGGGCCATCTGCCAGTTCATTAAGTATTTTCAAGAATAACAACCTCCTCCAATCCTTCCCACCTCATAATATCTGCAGCAAATGTTCCCCTTTTTTCATGTACCTAATTTCTTGCAGTGTGTCTAATGGCCACTCCAGGGCACTTCTCACTCCCTGTAAAGTTGCTTGAAACTGTTTTGGTTTTTTCTTATTCAACACTCTGTTATCCTTTTCTCTTGCCCTCTCCACTTTATAAATACTTTGATTTTCCTATTACCTCAGAGGACTGAAGGCTGCTGTCAGCCTTGCTTTCCTAAGCCTCACAGGAGCTGGGCAGATACCTGTGACATACAGTGCACCTAAGGAAAAGGGCTCCTTCAAAGACTGTTTTGTTTTGTTTTGTTTTGTTTTGTTAGAATTGTCTCTAAAAGGAAACATAACTGCATAGGCTGGGCAAAAGGAGGTACTGTGTGCTCCATGGATATTTAACACTGTGGAATAACAGCCTTTATAAGATGGGACTGCTTCTTCAGAATTATTCTAAGATGACTTTCAGCTTGTGCTCATAACACATGAACATTGTATTATAGATAAGGAATTTACTCCCGTTGAAACACAGATGTGAACTGCTGCTGGTGTGTACAAAACTTAGTTCATTTTCATTCTGGTCACATTTTTTTTAACTGGAGAATAGCATCAGTTTGTGTAAACTCTATATCCAATAAAAAGAAAGGACTAGAGTTCAAATTTCAAATGTGAAATAACTGTAACTAACAGGCTGTGAATGATTCAAAATCAGAGAAGCCTCAGTAGGACTATCCAACTAATATGGTGAATATTGAATGCCCTGAATAAAAGAATAGCTTTCCACAGAAAATTTACAGAGAGAAAAACAAGACAATTTTTTTTTTCTGGATAAATGACTACTTAGTCCTGGCATCAGTCTAACATCTTAACTCACTAAATTTATACATGCAAGTGTCATTACTGAAACGCTCATGTTTAAGGAAAACAATTCTATGTAAAGTGTAATGTTTTATAAGGAACATGGATAGGTTAAAAAAAACTAGTGTGAAAGGAAAATTATTATTTGTAATAATGTGATGGCCATTCATCTAAAAAATATGTTTTTAATGATTCTCAGCTCACTTCCTCTCTACTGACTTTTTGTAGTGGGTCTAAGATGTGTGTTGTATGAACAAGCAATACAGTTTTAAAATGCTGGTTTCTGGATGATGATGCTGAATGATGATGACATGAAACATTCCTGATCTTTGCTCTACTGGAGTTGTATTATGGTAATTATTCAATTACACAGGAGAAATTTTGCCATTATATTTATATTAATTTTGAATTAGCAGGTACTGCAACTGTAATTGTATCTGTACTATGCAACAGAATTTCCTTAATTACAACTAGCAGGAGGATTGCAATCAGGGGCCTATTGCGAGCAGGTCATTCTGATGATGCAGAGTGACCCAGAGTATGACACAGGCTGTTTGTGCCACCATCCCTGCCTGCCCCTGTAGCCACCTCCCTGGACTGATGTGTGTCAGTGGCTTTGCTGCAGTTGAGTGATGAGAGCAACCAGGTCAATGGTTCCTTATATATCAACTATCCAAGGAAGAAAGTAGTCCTGTGAGAGGTCCCAGATAACACCTCCTTCTGACCAGGATTCCTGTCTGCCCAGTAGGGAATGCCCCTATGGACTGCATACACTGTAGAGGCTTTGGCTGGGTTTCAGTTAATTCAGTGACTACAGCTTTATCTGTAACAGAATTGGTGTTATTCAGTGCCATGCTGGGGAGAGGGCCTTTAGAGACTTAAGGTTCCTTTACAGGTGTCTCAGTCCTTGGAAACATATGCCACCTTTTATCCAATTTCTCCAATTCCATGACATTTAAATAAACAAAATGAAAAGGCAGTGTAATTTTACAATTTAACATTACCTTGATACAA